GAAGTATTATAGCTAGGTACATGTGTTGTGTAAGCTTTATATGTATCTATACATAAGATTGCAATAAAAGCATTGCTAGTATATTTAATATGTTGATGTAGTGCATAGTTTGATGAGTTGCAATATAATCTACTCTCCCCATCATATATTAGACCTCATGGTTTTAATTTACAAGATTCTTTTACGTTGTGTCATAATATTTTTCTCAATATGTTTTTTTTTATGTAAGTAGATAAACTAATTTCCCTTATGCATGAACACGCATAATTTAAAACTTTTTATTTTTTTTTGAGGTTGCACAATTGAAATATTCAATAGACTATCGGTCACTCTTTGATCTAAAGTAGGATTTATGTTAACTTGACGGAATTCTTGGTTGAATAGTGATTTCACGTTGAATAGTATTTTTGAAGTTTCCAGTGTCTGGACTCATGATACGGGAATGACGGGACGAAGTCAAGTTATATTGATTTGCCATAACATAAGGGCAATTTGGCATTTTAATATCGTTTATTAGGTTAAAAATAGGTTTAAAGTTTTATGGTTATTTTCATAATATTTCCTTTTGGTTTTTTTCCAAACCCTAGTTTGGTAGAACTATTGAAGTGAACTTCAGAATTTCTCTTAATTGTCTTGTGAATTCCACAACCTTTAAGGTGACCGCTTAAGATCCCTTTGTTACCGGTTAGTTTCCCTGCGTCATAACCAAACTGCAAAGACAAATTCTCCATATGCACAACAAACCACCGTTTCGAGAGTACCAAAAAGAAGAGAAACTAAAGTACATAGGAAATATGTGGGCACCAGCAAAGCAAAAGCTTGAGCGCATTACGAGTTTGATTGGCCTCAAGCGAGAAAGCTTCGACGACTTCTTTTGACACCATATACGCTTTTCAACTATACACCCAAGCTCAGGTCAAATGGGCTTAAGCCCATATAGACCATAAGTGATACATAAACCCACATCTCCCAACCTTTTCTGATTTTTGTTTTTTTTGCAAAACAGAGAGAAAAAGACAGGGACTAAACAGCAAGCTGTTTTTGATGGGCGGATTCATCTTCATTGAAGGAGCAATGAAGCTTTAGACGTCTGGCCAAATTCAGAGGAGATTCTGCTACATGCAGAGGAGATTGCAATAACATTTCTCTTTGAAGATAAGAACAGTAGGTGTAAAAAGTTGCAGGTGTGACATTCAATTGGAAGCCCAAACCAAACAACAAGTCCACCTCAAGAAGGTTCATCTCTGCTGTGCTGATCCCTCCAACTCTAGCATAATAGGCATTGTTGTAATATCTGCAACAAACAAACCCATGTAGATAAAAATGATTAATTATATTTCTAACCAACCAAAGAGCATGAATAATTAAAGTAATTAATTTAATTAAACCCACAAGTTAAATATACAACTATCATATCATTGCTGTCATATTGGACCACCACATGGGTTTTCTTGCTGGCATTGCAAACAAAGAGAGTGAGCTGAGAAGCAAAGTGTTCGTGTTATGGCAAATGATTAACATTTTGACTAAAAATCCACATGGCCTTTGATTGAGCTGTCATTAGCATCAATTATGACAGATTATCTGTCATGCTCGCATGGAATTTTACACCACATCTTAGATGGGCTTTGTCTAGTAAAAGACGGAGGCCTTCACATGCCTCATCTCTTTCCCTCTTTTTGGCGGTGGTTGCTTCCAAACGGTGATGCCATTAACAATTAGGATATGAACCTCATTTTGGAAGAACATGGAACCAACTTGTTTTCCAAGTCTTCCATCACTTGTTTTATGTGCATATGTGACCGAATTCATCAGAACAGAAAAATAAAAAAGAGATTGGTTTCAATCAAAACAATCAACAACTGAACAAGAAGATGACCAAATTATATAATCACACAGAGAAAGAGACCATGAAAGTATAAATTCAACTTATGTTCTGTAAAAAGCTTGAATCTTGAAACTCGTAGAAGAAGGAACCCATTTGATTAACTATGCAAAACCCAGAACTAAAATCCTAACAAGAAGATCAAGCATTTCAAGCAAGTAGAAAAAGAAAAAGAACCCAAATTCAAGAAACTAAAACAGAAGACTGGCTTACATGTCATCCATGAACTTTGCAGAGACCAAGACGCTGGCGATGAGCAAGCGATGGATATTGAAGGAATCGATGGGCAACAATGGCTGCGTCTGAGTGAAGCGGTCGAGGTAGACGTAGGCAACGACGAAGCAAGAGGGGCTGCAATCTGCGTACTTGAAGATCCTCTGGAGGTAGCTGTGGATTGTAATGGTGGGTGTGGTGAGGCTGTGGAAAACCGACAGCCTCTGGGTCGGCTCGAACCGCCGGCTCAGGTCGTTGGATTTGGCAACTCGCTCGAGAACTGAGGACATGAAGTCTATCATTCTTGGCATGGCCTCTGGACTAGTGCTCTCAACCTGATCAGCCATTGTTTTGCCCTGTTTCTGTTGGCTGCTTCTTATTTATATATGTAATATTACGATGCGCTTGTGTTGTTACGTGTCTGAAGGGTTGCATTTTCTTTCTGGTTTATATATTAGAAAAGATTTAGTGATCCTTGATTGTTTATGTTAGCCATAAATAATGGGTTTAGCTGCTGCTGGTGGCTGGTGATAGAAAGGTTGTTTGTGGGGGCACGAAAGTAGGGCTAATGACTTGACTTGTGAAAGAAAATACGTGCTTTGTGTGTGAAATAATTGGGATTTGTGATGGATCATGATTCATGATGGTTAAAGAAGAATTTCAAGTGCCTTTAGTGAGTATTTTCTTTTCTTTTTTTACCAAAAAAAAGTGAGAGAATGAATTCAAACTTGTGTGCGAAGTTAAATCTTAATGAGAATTAGGGGGAAATGGAAATGGTTCACAAAGTCTTTTTAATGTGTACTCTAAATCCAATAAAGTTCATGTTGTCCCTCACTTCACTTCTTTGTCTTTAGGGGTTGGGGTGGTTTAAAATGGCATAATCTTTAGAAGTAAAGGTGAAGAGATAGGCCAACTTCCTATGTAATTTTCCAGCTACAATAATTCTGAACAAAACTGACTTTTCCACTGTGGATATGGACTTTAATCATCACAACAATTGCCAGCTTTCCTTGCCAAGCAAACAAAAAACAAAATATAAAAATGGCAACAAGCTTTCATCAATATATATATATATAAAATAATAATAATAGTGACGTGTGATTGCAGTAATTCCTCATCCACCTTCACCTTCTGGCTTTTTCTTGGATGACAGCTTGTTTCTTGTATGAATTACAATTACAATTTCTTTTTTCTTTTTTTTTTTCTTTTTTTTTTTTAATTTTGAAATGAAATACTGAAATCAGGCATTTCTAATAACAGTAAGAAACGTGGCTCAAAAAGCTCTAGAACGTTAAAAAAATTAACAAGCAACTTTCCTAACAATAACCACCAAACTGATGAATGATTTATTGCAGCAAAAAATAAAAGAATCTTGCTTTCAAGTTTCATGTAGACCCAGCCAAGCCAGCCCAATTACGATCGACCATGATGCTGATTTGAAATCAAATAATTGTTAAATAAACAAAGAGGGTACGTAGCAAGAGGATTGACCAAAGAAAGAAAGAAAGAAAGGAAAAGAAAAAGGATTGTCTATTCGTGCTCATTAACATGCTGGCATTCACTGTTTTGATCTCTGCAATGACCGTGCCGTCACGTTTATTCAAAACGCATGTTGATTTGATACTCAGTTTTGATTTTAGTTTATAATTTGGATGATTTGTAACTTGTATGCACGCATCTATAAAACTGTCAAATGTTTCAAAATAATATTAGCGAGATTAAGGGTGGAGGAATCGAATATAGAACCTTTAATAAATGTTTCAACACGAAATTAAGGGAGGAGGAATCGAATATAGAACCTTTAATAAATGTTTCAACACAAATGTATTATCTAATGTTTATTTTATAGGTGCAAAGTTAGTCTTTCTTACTATATATACAACTAGGGTGGAGTGTAAATTTGGCACTCGGGGAAGGGAAGGGAAGGGGAAGGGGAAGGGCAAAGAATGTGGCCCCTTCACCAACCGTGTGTTCTTTCTTATGTGAACCAACACCTAATTGCTAATTCAAATAGCAAACACATGATTTCTCAAGCATAACAATTCTACTAATACTTACTCAATACAAACAATAAGTGACTGGATCCTTTATTAGTTTTTATTGTGATTGAATTGAACACCACTTAGATTAGATGGGGTTCTCTTCTCTCTTTGGCTGCTTTCATATCTTATATTTATGGGGTAGGAGTGGGTCTCATGTACCTTAGAATTTGACCTTGTACCTACCCACTTTGAGTAGAGTTTTCCACAAATAGAGGGAGAAATGTGTGAATTGGTCATACAGAAACATGCCACTTATTCAGAATCTTAGCAAGCTCGTGCTCGCATGTTAATGAGAAATGCAGTGCATGTTTCTACTTATCAATGCTTCCAGTTAACCTTTGGGTTCTGATTTTACAGGACAGCTAGCTCCTTACCCAGATGCATCATGCATGAGACTATCTTCCATGGTCCTTCGCCTTATTCGCCTTTATACACGAGTCACGACTAGGGCAGACTAGGGCATGCCGTACTTACTAGGGCAGACAATGGCATGCCGTACTTGCTAAGGCAGACTATGGCATGCCACATGGGACTGTGTGAGGCTATGTATTCTTTTGGTTGACATGTCTCAGATATAGTGTCTAGCCTCACTGGCCTCCAAGCACACAATGCTCATTCCAACAGACTTGAGAAATTAACTTTGATCAGGTTAAAAGCTTCAAAAGCTCCATAATAGAATTGGAAACCACAATGATGCAACTAAGACAATTGGTGCTATTAGTTTGACTTGCAGAGAAAATATTGCATAGCTTTGGTCCTAATAATAATAAACCAGAGGACTACCTGGAACAGGTAACAGTGCTAACAACACGAATTGCTCTAAAACAAAACAGTGGAGACAACAACTCGGTTCCAAATTTTCCAATGGTGGTAGATGAGGTTCATACAACACTACAATTTATTACTGATCCAAGCTCACAACATGGATACACCATGCATACTTACTAGACAGAGTATGTAAAAGCTAGTTACAAGTCACCCATATGGACAAAAGCACCAACCTATGAACGATACCGGGTATGGCTTGTACGGTTTTACTTTCAAGGCAGTAGCAAATAAATTAGCCATAGCATCGGATTGGATCATTGCATCCTTTCTCAGTAGATTGCTTAAAACCAAAACGGCCCCCTTTAGCAAGGTACTGCTGATGATACTCCTCTGCTCGGTAGAACTTCTTGGCTGGAAGAATTTCTGTAACAATCTTTCGGTTCATTTTATTCTGGTGTTGTTCCAAGGATTCTTGTGCTGCCTTCTCTTGCTCAGGTGTATAGAAGTATATTCCAGATCTGTACTGTGTTCCCACATCATTCCCCTGCCCATTACATATGGAAAAACCCTTATGGTTACTTCAGCCATAAGACAAATGTAATTTTTGGATCACACTCTAATTAAGAAAATCACATATCACATATTTCGAATTTCTATGAGTATAATCAGGACAAATCTATAAATATAAAATCAATCTCTAGGTGTAGCTTATGGATATGAGAAAATAAGAGCCAACAAAAGACAAACCATTAAGAGAAAGAGGGATTTGGGGTTTATGAAATAGAGAATCATAAGCAAGGCTACTGTTTCAGTAATCATATCTCTGAAAATACTAATGTCCGGTCAATCCCAATGATCTGCTATCATAAAACTGAGATCTCGTTGACAAATGCTGCTACATGCAACTCATTGAATTCTAACAACATAAAAACCGTTAAATTTGATGAGTAAAGTAGGACTAACTGCTTCAGTACAAGAAGTTGTTCAGTCAATTACAATCTCCTTTTCTCACACATTGACACAGTTATCTACAGGGCAAAACAAGAAAAGCCCAAAAATTATCAATCAAAATTTTGTCCCTAATTCATCAATAAAACACACAAAACATATCAACCACCAAACTAGTAAAATCAAATCTTGATCCTATCACACAAGTAATTGAACATATTCCCACAATAACCAAACAAACCCCAACAAAACAACCCAACGAAAATTTTTTTCCAGAGAAAAAATTCAGAACGACTCGCCTGGCGATTGAGCGTGGTGGGGTCATGCCTGGACCAGAAGAGATCAAGCAGAGTCTCAAAGTTACACTCTTTAGGATCGTATTGCACTCTCACGACCTCGGAGTGTTTGGTGGTGCCCGTACACACGTCCTCGTAAGTCGGGTTGTGCAAGAACCCTTGGGTGTACCCAACCTCTGTCTTGGTCACGCCAGGTATTCGCTGAAAGGCCAACTCGACACCCCAGAAGCACCCGGCTCCAAACTGGGCGAACTGCTGACCTGGGGCCGGAACGTCGTCGTCTGGGCCCAGAGGAATGGAGGAAGAATCGGAGGTGGGGTCGGAGGTCTTTGGGCCGAAGCCGAGCTTGTTGAGGAGGTTCATTTGGGGCTTGTTGAAAGAGATGGGTCTGTGGGTTTGTGGGAAGGGGGAGGTGGGTTTGTTTCGGAGTTTTGAGAGAAAAAGGAAGGGCTTAGAGAGAGAGAGTTTAGGGGTGGTTATGGCGGTGGACATGAGTGGTGAAGTGGTGGAGATGGTGGCTAAGGTTTTGAGCATTTTCGGGTGTGACGTGTTCTTTTTGGTTTTATTTCGGGCTAAAGTGAGAGTTTCGTCTTGGGAGGTGGTTATTCATAATTATTTTTTTAATCGAAAATGAAAATTATACAGAATATTTTGCTTTCTTTTTTGGCCTATGGAAATTAAAATGATGGTCTTCTTCTCCAGGATTTTCTTCAACCTATTTGTTTTGTTTCTTTCTTTCTAATTTTATTTATTTTTGTATGTACATTGTTCAGGAATTGTGTGGCGCCTTCTGGCAACATGGCGGGTACCTACCCGCACACATGAGGTGGGACCGCGGGAGGATAAGAATGTAAAATATAGGTTGTTTTTGTTTAAGAAAAGCAACAAGTTTCCTCTTTTAAACAATGTTGGGAGACCATTACTTTCGCAATGTCATCAAGAGAAAAAGAGACCAAATAATATTTGTTTTCCAAGCATTGTTCGGGGTTTATGTTTCTTTTACAACTCTTTTTTGGTTTTCTTTCTTTACAAGTTGGAGAGTGTAGAAAGTCAAAGCTTTGGTTTGATGTAAGCAATGTCGGTTCAACCAAAATGACATGCTGTTGGTAGTGGTTAATCAATGTAGCTACTACAACTACAGATTAGATGATAATAAAATCAATTATAGTTGTATTTGACCCGTTTCTTTGTGTAGAAAACAAAGTTTATATCTATTGTTCATCAAAGATTCTTTCTTTCCTGATTTAATACAATCATATACTAAATTAGCACAGAAAAACTAAAGAGATTTGGAAATTTTTGTTATTTCAAAAACTGCAGGCTATATAGCTGCAGCTGCTATATATATTCATACAAGGACTCACATTTTAACATCCATATATAGCATGGAAGCTATAAGACCTAAGATAGCCAACAGAAAGACATTAGGTCCACAGTTGATGAATGCACTTGAAGTAGGAATGTTGCTCTTAGAAGTAGGTTGTGGAAGATGATCCCCTTGGCCGGAACCAGTTGCTGCCTGTGGTGCGCCAGCCGGCGCATAAGCTTGGTTGTTTTCTACTTCTACATGGAGCTTCATCCCTCCCAAGCAGTATAGCTTGTTACCACTCACAAAATACCAGTCACCAGGATGTGTCAATGTGACCGTTGTGTTTCCCCCTGTATATGATTTCACAACATTGGTTGTGTTGCAACTGTCAAAGCTTTTTTTGCTCACTTGACTAACACTATTAGATGATGAGTATTGGAACCCTGCAACCAGAAATAAACCCAAAACAAAATAAAAATTAAAGACAACAAGTTGCTTAATTCAATAAGAATTCATGTATAGTATAACTTTTACTTACAGAGAATATCGCCAACGTTAAATTTTTTGTCGTTGGACCATGTACTGAGGTCAGTGCTTATGTCCCAGCCAGAGGTGTCCCCCACTGTGTAAGTTGTAGCAGAGCATGTCAATGCAAATCCAAGGACAGCAAGACCAAAAACAAGAACTGGAAGCAGCTTTCCCATTTCAATGGAGAATGAGAATGTAATGTAAGATGAGATAAAACATAAGAGGGGGATTTCATTTTATAGATTTATGTGTTTGAGGATTTCCTATTATTAGATGACCTAACTTCAACTGTGAGAATGACTTGCATTCTTGATCAATTCAAAGTACATATATTGTTCCTCATAAGCAAGTTGGTGAGCAGTTAAACATCTCCAACTCCAAACTCTTTTTTTGCTGACTTTGCCAACAACATATATGTTTGTTTGCTTTGTACAAGAAATTAAGATGAGAAATTAATTTGCTTGTGCAGACACTCAACACAAATCTTGCAGCTTCCATATTGCAAATGTGATTAAGTGTTTCTGTAGATTTTTCTTCACAATGATAAGAAAAAACAGTCAAAATAATATTTCTTTTCTTCTCCCCATTGACTCTCATCATAACTATGGAATAATGCACCACTCTTTTTTGTTCCAACAATCCATGAATGCACGGATTCATACATTAACTAGGGACCCTCAATAATCTGATTTGCAACTGAAGCAGCCCCAACATGAGAAATTGCTGGTTCCCATATTCCAGTGAGTGTGCATACAGAAGGGGAAGAAAGTTATGATCCACAAGTTCAATTTCCCAATTCCCATGAGAATGGAAAAAGAGGGAAACTGTCTTTTATTGGTTGCATCCGATCTCTACACAAAGTCCAAACAAAAGCACAATGTTGTCTCTTTCGAGAAAAGTTGTACCAAAAATTAAGATCCTTTTGCTATCACATTTAAATCCCATCCCTGCACAAAGTCCAAACAAAAGCACAATGTTGTCTTTTTTGAGAAAAGTTGTACCAAAAATTAAGATTTGAACCTTTTTCATTCTCTGCTTCAGTTTAAATTTTATAGTTTCCAAGTTTGAACCATACGCAACCAATGCGCCCACTATTGATTTTGGCAAACTGAAACCAGGTTCTCATGAACGAGCAATAGTTATCCAAGAAATCAGAACAGCTTGTCATCAATTGAGATTCTTTCAAGTAAGCTTAATCAACATAGGTCTCTATAATTTTCTTTTCTTTTATTAAAGATAGTAGTAATTATGCAAAAAGTTTAATTATAAATAAGCTGATGATCTTCATGATCCACTCATAACACAACCATGCATTTAACTTGCAACGCCACCATCTTTTCACGAGGAAGATGCATCTTTTTCCCCATAATCAGCGAATATATGACAGAATTCTTTGTTACGACGGTTTTTGTACTTTTAGTAACGAGTTTAATACAAAAAGTGTCTTTAGCAGCGAAAACAACCGTCGCTCGCTGTGGATACAACATCTATTTGCAACGTCGAAG